GTGGCATGGCTATTGTTGGGGGCTCTTAGCCAGCTTTACATTGCAAATTAAGAGCAAAGAGCCCAGCAGGATAACCTGCAATACTATGAGTTTGGCCAAAAGAAAAATTTCAGGAATGCTGTAGATTGTAAAGACAGAGTTGAGATTTTGATTGCTGGGGAGAAACAGTAAGATAAAAAAGATGGTCATGGGGCACCCCAGGAATTTGGGGTTCCCCACCTAAAGGAACAGTTGGTCTTATGCTAGAAAAAGCAAATCTAAATTTAAAAGGAGTAACTATTGTGCCTAATGTGATTGGTGATTATAGAGATAAAATACAAGTTCTTGCATGTGCTGTGGACATCTGGGAGATTATGTGGTGCAATTAATTTTGTTGCCTATGGAAAAGCCCTTTTTAAGTTAAGTATGTAATTTAGTTAAGTACATGTGCCATCCAGATGAAACCTGTCCTCTGATCCAGAATGTCAGACCATGTTTTCCTCTTGTCCCACCCCAAATGGACAACCAGATGTAAGGAAGTTCTTGATCGGTATCTCCAGTTGTTCTTGGTAGCCATTAAGGGCACCCAGAAAACCCACCAATTTGCCCAAGGTAGCAGAGGTGAGACAATTGGCTAATGAGTCTCCCTTGGGTTTTTCTGAAAAGATTGAAAAGGCCTATCACATTTATATACTGGTAGCACCTAAAAATGCAAGGGTCATTAATATTGCCTTTGTAATCAAGTCGGCGTCTGATATTAAGCGAAAATTGCAAAAGTTTGAGGGATTTAAGAGAATGCCCTTCAGTCAGTTATTACAAATTGCTTAAAAGATATTTGACAAGTGGGAGGACCCTAAAGACCAAAAGCCAACAAAGTCACCCAGCCCAATGCAAAGTCTCATCTGCCCCTAGATAAAGATCAATGTACTTACTGCTAAGAGAAGGGTGCACTGATGAAAGGACTGTCTGAAGATCTTCTGTGGGCTTTAGATGAGCTGGGTTATAGGGTCTCTGCGAAAAGGCCCAACTATGCCAAAAGTATGTGACCTACTTAGGTTACCAAATCCATAAAGGAAAATGGACTCTTTCCTCCCAGTGGATGCAAGCCATCCAACACATTCCAGTGCCTGTGACTAAAAAGCAAGTGCAAGAATTTCTAGGAGCCATAGGACTGACCCAGAGATTGGGACACTGGCAGAGGCCTGTTGCCTATCCTTCCAAGAGACTTGATTAAGTGGCAGCAGGATGGCCCTTGTCTGAGGGTGACTTCCCCAGTGACCCTCCTCGTAGAGGAGGCTCAAAAATTGACTTTTGGACAGAAACTCTTAATTGTCCCCTCCATTCACTGGAGACTCTCATCAAGGCTCTGCTGGACCAATGACTGCCAACTCCAAAGTCATGCATTATCAGGCATTACTTCTGGATCTGACTACCATAAGTTTCAAAGGGACAGCGCCTTTAAACTCTGCTACTCTGCTGCCTAATGATGACCCCTCCTTGGCCCTCCACGACTGTACTGGGGACCAGACTTGATGGAGGAGCCACTATTCAGAGTTCCTTTGTATTTCTCTGATGGAAGCAGTTACATCTATCAACGTAAGCGGGTCATAGGAGCTGCCTTTACCACAGACTCTCAGGTTCTATGGGAACAAACCCTGGTGCTGGGAACATCAGCCCAAAGGGCTAAACTCATTGCCCTCACTGAGGCCCTCAAGTTGTCAGAATATGCATTTGCTACTGTCCATGTTCATGAGGCCATTTATCAAGAATGGTGTTTATTGACTTCTGGGGACCAAAAGATTAAAAATGCTCCCCAAATTTAGGACTCGTTGGCTGCCGTGTGGATGCCAAGAAAAGTGGCTATTATCTACTGTAGAGCCCATTGGGCAGGAGATAACCTTGTTGTACAAGGAAATAATTTAGCACATGCCACCGCCCAAAAGGCAGCCATAAAATTAGTAGGGATTGAGATAGCCCCAACATTACTGCTGATCCCACCTACTTTGTCAGAGCCCATTTGCACTTGAAAAGACTTGCATCTGGCAGCTCAACTTTGAGCAAAGTCTAGTATCTCTGAGGGCTATTATCAAAGCTTACCCAGTCTGTGAGCCTCATATGCCCTCAGTGTCAATTAGTGATCCCAAAGTGACTGCAACAAATAGAAACCACTCGCTATCATGGGACCATGCCTAGACAACATTTGGAAATAGATTTCACAAAAATGGGAAAGCCTGGAATTCAAGGGAATAAGCACTTATTAGTAATAATAGGTATTTTCACTAGATGGGCCAAAGCTTTGCCTACTAAGTCTGAGTCAGCCCTGATAGCAGTTTCCCCAATTTGGCCTCCCCTTATCCATGGGGTCCAACAATGGCCTAGCTTTTATAGCCAGGATAACTCAAAAACTAACCTAAACATTGCAGATTGATTGGAAACTCCATTGTGCTTACCAGCCTCAAAGTTTAGGACAAGTAGAAAGGATAAACCAGACTTTTAAAACAGTAATACGATGGCCTTGGAAACAGGCGAGAACTAGGTGACTCTCCTCCCTTTTGCTCTTTTGTGTGTGCGATGTACCCCCTATGTTGCAGATGTTTCCCCTTTAGAGGCTTTGTATGGGAGACTCCCTCCACTTATCCCTAAGATCCTGAGGCAAAAATTAACTGATTTAGCTAAGCAAGATCTTATTTAGTTCCTCCAGGCCCTTCAGCCAGTTCTGACTTTCATCCACCAGTTATTCTGACAACAACATCCTCTTCCTGCAGCCCACTGCAAGGACAAATGCCCTGCAGTAGAGCCTGAGGCACTAGTCCTCATCCATAGGCATCACCATGAATCCCTTGAGCCGCGATGGAAAGATCCCTACACTGTGGTCCTCAGAACTCCAACTGCTGTCAAAGTTGCTGAAAAGTCCACCTGGATTCATCATTCCCACTTCAAGCTGGTCCCGGCCCCCTATGGTGACCAACCTACAGATAAGGGGACTGCTGTTCCCTCCAAGGACCCTTTAAAGTTTAAGATTGCCAAATATATCTGATAATCTTGTTCTTATGTGTTCTCCCTTATGGAGACCCCAAGGAGCCCTCTGTCTGGCTTTAGGAAAAAATTGTTGCTGGTATGCCAGTCATTCTGGAGTCATCAGGTAGAACATGACTAACCTCAGAAAGCGATTGCAAGAACAAGCCAGACAGGCAAAACAGAGCTAATTTAAACGTTGGTTTTCTTTCTCCCTTTGATAGGCAGCTTTAATAATGGTGGCTGCAAGACCTTTGTTAATCCTCCTATTGGGCCTTGTATTATAAACAAATTGGTAAACTATGTCAAAGATCCGGTTCAAACTATAAAGCTCATAATTTTAAAGACACAAGGTTATAAACTGATACCTATGTCTGAAAACCCCATGAGCCAATGATTTGAATCATTGACAAAAATCAGTGGGGAATGTTATACATTTACAAAAAGAGCTTCTTTATGTTTCTGTTATGTTTGCCAATGCCTACAGTTATATGACCAAATTACATATTAATTCTCTTTGCAAATGCAACTATTTCCTACAACCAGACACCCTGGGGCACCGACCACATTGTTAACAGCTGTAGTGCCGTCCTCCTGTTCTGTATGCCCCCATCTTCCTGGGTGACCTGATTGATACGTTAACTATTGCTCCCCTCTGCAAGGGACTGTAAATTCCTGGGAATCTGACCTGGTTGGTATGTTAACTATTGCTCCCCTCTGCAAAGGGAAACAAAGGTCTTCCTCATTCTTTAGCGGATCAAGGATTTCTTCATTTTCTGATCCACCCCATAAACCCCTTACTTTGTAAATTGTACTTGCTAAAAATTATGTAAATGTTTTAAGCTAGACACACAGCTGCGTGTATTACAACTGCACTCTGTCTCTGGTACCAGATTAAATAAAAGTGCTCCTTTTTCTTAAAAAACATGTCTTGCCCCATTTTTCTACACCATTTTGGGGGGGGCTTGTTTTTGAAATACAAGAGTAAGGAGTGTCTGGGCCACTGTCTGTGATAGGCTTGAAATGGCACTAAAGAGAGGTGTACCCTATACCATGTTTCAGTATCATATATATGAAAATCATGGAGGGGACAGGAAGTACCTGAGAGCTCTGTGTAAGAAATCCTGATTGCTATTCACTCTTGTAGGAGCCAGTGCTTTTGGAGAGTGGAATCTGCAAGAAGCCAGGGTAAAGCAAAGGATTTAAAGGGGAAGGGAGGAGTTTGCTTCCTTGAGGAATTCAGAGGATGATTTAGTGTGGTTGTGCTTCCCTGAATGGGCAAGGCAGATGTGAGTGTGGCCATGTTCATCCAGATGGATGATGCAGATTATCCACTGATGAGTTCAATAGTTCATATGCTGTTAGGAAGTTGGGTGTTGTTGGAGACTGTTCACTGGCATCATGACTTGGAAAGGATATTTTCTTGTCCCCAGCTCCTCCTTTCTTTCACTCTCCTTCCTGACTATCATAGAGTGAAGTTTTCTTCTGCTATGTCCCTTGGAATCAATCAACCATGAATTGAATCCTCTGAAAACTGTAAGCCAAAATAAACTTTCCCACCTTTTAGTGGCAGACATCAGGTATTCTATGTAACAACAAGAATGCTAATACAGCTTGAGCTCCAGCCTATAAAGTGGAGCCTAGTGGAAGAAAATTGTTAATGGAGATATATCTTTGAAGAGATAGTGGGACTCCAGCCCCTTGTCTCTGCTTCCCAGCTACCATGAGGTGAGCAGCTTTCACCACCCCATGCTGCTGTTGTCCTGTACTGTGCTGAAAGCATTAGGGCCCACTGACAACACGCTGAAAATGCAAAATCTTTTATGAAATAAGGGACATCTTCACCCAGTATAACTGCGAAATTTCTACTGAAATTCAGTGACTTTCTGTATTGTGTAATTGTTATTTAAAGTCAGATAAGACACAATTTTTTTTAAATCTTTTATTTTGAAACAGAAACTAGGTTAATCTATTCTTCAACAAATTATATGCTTCAGGATGTTATTTTGTATATAAGCATAACTTCAAAAGTAAACATAAAGCAAGTGACTATTGTTTGTCCATTACTGTAGTATTGCTGAGAGTTTACAACTTAAGAATTTTCTCTGTTCTCATAATCTATTTATGTCACTGCAACAAATAGGACAGGTAGAATTTACTGATAAACAAGGATCAATGCGGTGCATTTGATATTCATGAGAACACTGTAGTATGTGAAATTTTGTATCATGTAATGCACACATTACAGTGCTTCACAGCATCAGTTTTGTTAAATGTTCTTACTGGAAAGTTGTCAACCTGTTGCTTTGTAAGTCTTCTAAGTTGGTGAAAAATGTATTCATCTATAGGGATTAGTTCACCTAAAAGGTGCTGGCATTCATTTTTGTGAGGTATTTCTGGGTGTGTGTTGACTTTTTGGTCTGCGCTGTGAAAGTGAGCCTAATAATGTACCTCTTTCATTAATGTCTTCAGGCATCATTGAAGCAATTTCTGGATTTTCAGCATGAGAGCTGGCACTGAACACAGGGCTACTACCAGAACCAGTAGAAAAGCTCAAGCTTGTGTGGTAAATTGCTGTTGAACCAGACTGATAACTAGGATTTAAATTGGAACCACTGCTTCTATTCTGTGACTCTGCCCTTTGCACATTTAAAGTTGAGGGTAAGCCTTGATACTGTAGATCACTATCAATGTCCATAAGGTTACTGGATCTAACCAATCCTGTCATTCTCTGACCTAATGTTCCTCTCTCAGCTACAACAGGAGTTGTATCACTTACATCAGTATTTGAACTTCTATTAGTAGGGATCCTGAGGGAACCAACATTACTTCTTGCACCAGCCTCTTCAGCACGTGAAAATGCATTTCTGATCTCTTCTAGAACAGTTTCTACTGAATCACTAGTGCTTAATGACTCGGGTATGAATGAAGGTGTACTACCTGTGTCACATCTAGAGTCTTCTCCAGGAAAAATTGTGATTTGAAGATTGGGCACTAACAGTGTAGCACATCTTCTCCATTGTGGAGCTTCCCTATTTCTGGTTGTGTGCCTAGAATATTCTCTTGAAGAATGATCAGGTAGTCCAGAAGCTGAAAACTGACCTCCACTTTGTGACGTAAAACTACTCATCTGATGTCTTACTTTCTCATGGGGTTCATCTCTAGAAAACATCTCAGTGTCACTTACAGACCCATGCTCTACAGTATCAGATGATATACTGGCATGAAATTTCATACCCTGGTCAAGTGCTACATTTGAATGTGAATGGGATTCATCACCTTGTCTAACTCTTCTATGTCTTCGTCTCTTCTTTCTTGATCTTTGCGCTTTGGTGAAAGAGTCTTCCATTAGTCCTTCAGTTATATTTTGTTGTGATACAGATGAAGTTGCAAATGCTAATCCAAGTTGTGGATTTTCCATATGTTCTCTGTGTGATCTTGACCATGATAAATGTCCATGCTCTGAAATTTGTCTGCTGAAAGTAATATTACTTGAATTACTCTGACTTTCTAATGTCCAAGATGGAGTATTCCTTTGATCAGTTCCTGTCATATATGCAGCTTGCACAAATCTGGGGAGTTCCACTGTTTCATAAGAGTCAGGTGGAGATACGTGTGCACCTTTCACTATAAAAGAGGAGAAGGATGAACAGGAACTAAGAAAATTAAAAGCATCATAAAATATTACACAATAAACTTCTTTCAAAAATAAGAAAACAAAAAGCTCTTAAAGACTCAAAGATTTCATCATATTTTATACTGATACAGTAAATACTTTCATAAAAAACAGAGTCTAATATTATAAAGGCAGGATAGAATCTATTTCATTTTAAAAGACTGAGATAATCCTCAATAAATTTGTAAATTTTAACACAGAATCTTACAGTCTATGTCAGTATGTATTCATGCACGGTTTATCACATACCACTGTGCAGAGCATATAAAACAATATTTCTTTCAGTGTACTATGCAAATATTAATTCAGTTGCCCTGATTTTCTAATGTCCAATATGGATTACCTGTTAGCTCACTTTCTCTCACATGTTCAGTTTGTTCAAAAGAGGAAATTTCCACTATTTCAGAATAGTCGGGTGGAGATGTCTGTGCACCTATCACTGTAAAAGAGGAGAAAGAAAAGAACTAAGAAAATTGAAAACATCATAAAATATTACTCGGTAATCTTCTTTGAAAACTAACAAAATAATGAGCTCTTAAAGATTTAAAGATTTCAGCACATTTTACAATTAAAAAGTAAATGTTTTCATAAAAATAGAGTCTAAAATTATAAAGTCGGGATAGATTCTATTTCATTTCTATTCAATTCTATTCTATTCTATTCTATTCTGAAAGACTAACATATCCTCAATAAATTCACAGATCTAAAAAGAGACTCTTAAAAAGTCTACTTCAACATTTTGTCACACAGATTATCACATACCACTATGTAGAGCATGTGAAAATGTATTTCTTTCAGTACACTGTCCAAATATTAAAACAATTACTCTGATTTTCTAATGTCCAAGATGGGTTACCTATTTGCTCATTTTCTCTCATATATTCAGTTTTCTCATAAGAGGAAATTTCCACTGTTTTGCAATAGTCAGGTGCAGTTACGTGTGCACCTTTAGTCACAAAAGAGAACAAGGGCAAAAAGAACTAATAAAATTAAAAAATCATAAAATATTACACAATAAGCTTCTTTCAAAAAAAAGGAATGAAATGAGCTTATAAGCACACAAAGATTTCAGCAAATTTTCCACTGACAGTAAACATTTTCATAAACAGACTCTAAAACTTTAAGGCAGGATAGATTGTATTTCACTTGAAAATACTGAGTAAATTCATAGATTTAAAAAAAAGAATCCTAACAAAATGTCTATCTCAACATTTTTCCATAAAGAATATCACATACCACTGTGTAGCGCATGTCAAAACATATTTCTTTCAAAGCAAAGTGCTAATATCAATAAAATTACCCTGATTTTCTAATGTCCAAGATGAATTACCTATTTGCTCACCTTCTCTCATATATCCAGCTTGCTCAGCAGAGGAAGTTTCCTCTTCTTTAAAATATGCAGGTGGAGATGTCTGTGTACTTTTCACTACAAAAGAGGAGCAAGACAGTAAAGAACTAAGAAAACTGAAACCATCATAAATATTACTCAGTAAAATTCTTTCAAAAATAAGAAAATAATGAGTTCTTAAATATTTAAAGGTTTTAGCATATTTTGCACTTAAAAAGTAAACATTTTCATAAACAACAGAGTCTAAAATTATAAAGGCAGGATATAAGCTATTTCATTTGAAAACACTGAGCTAATTCTTAATACATTCATAGATTTAAAACAGAATTTTAAAAAATGTCTATTTCAACATTTTGCCATAAAAAGTTATGTGTAGAGTATGTGAAAACATTTCTTTCAGTGCACTGTGCAAATACCAATACAATGACCCTGATTTTCGAATGTCTGAGATGGATTACCTATTTGCTCACATTGTCTCACATCTTCAGTTTGCACAGCAGAGGAAGTTTCCTCTGTTATACGATAGACAGGTGGAGATGTCTGTGTACTTTTCACTACAAAAGAGGAGCAAGACAGTAAAGAACTAAAAATTGAAAACATCATAAAATATTACTCAGTAAAACTCTTTTAAAAATAAGCAAATAATGAGCTCTTAAAGTTTTAAAGAGTTTAGCATATTTTACACTTAAAAAGTAAACATTTTCATAAACAACAGTCTAAAATTATAAGCAGGATGTAAGCTATTTCATTTGCAAAGACTGAGCTAATTCTCAATACATTCATAGATTTAAAACAAAATCTTAAAAAACGTCTATTTCAACATTTTGCCATAAAAAGTTATGTGTAGAGTATGTGAAAACGTTTATTTCAGTGCACTGTGCAAATACCAATACAATGACCCTGATTTTCGAATGTCTGAGATGGATTACCTATTTTCTCACTTTGTCTCATATGTTCACTTTGCTCAGCAGAGGAAGTTTCCTCTTCTTTAAAATAGACAGGTGGAGATGTCTGTGTACTTTTCACTACAAAAGAGGAGCAAGACGGTAAGGAACTAAGAAAACTGAAACCATCATAAAATATGACTCAGTAAAATTCTTTCAAAAATAAGAAAATAATGAGCTCTTAAAGATTTAAAGATTTTAGCATATTTTATACTTAAAAGGTAAACATTTTCATAAACAACAGTCTAAAATTATAAGCAGGATGTAAGCTATTTCATTTGAAAAGACTGAGCTAATCCTCAATACATTCATAGATTTAAAACAGAATCTTAAAAAATGTCTATTTCAACATTTTGCCATAAAAAGATTTTGTGTAGAGTATGTCAAAACATATTTCTTTCAGTGCACTGTGCAAATACCAATACAAATACCCTGATTTTCTAATGTCTGAGATGGATTACCTATTTGCTCACTCTTTCTCATATGTTCACTTTGCTCAATAGAGGAAACTTCTATTGTTTGACAATAGTCAAGTGGAGATACATGTGCACCTATCACCACAAAGAGGAGGACGTACGATAAGAACTAATAAATTTAAAAATATTACAAAATACTAATCTATAAACCAGCTTCAAAAAATAGCAAAAGTATGAGTACTTAATGACTATAAGTTTTAATACACTTTACAGTTACACAGTTAGCACTTTTATAAATAACACAGTCCAAATGTATGAGATAGTTTTAATTCCATTTGAAAAATCTGAGGTTATCCTCAATGAATTCACTGACTTAAAAGAGAAATTTTTCAAAAAGTGTATTTTAAATATTCTGTCATGTACGGTCTCAAATATCATTGCATAAGGCATGTCCAAAAATATTTCTTTCATTGCACTATCTAAATACCTGTACAGTTACCCTAATTTCCTAATGTCCAATGCCTATGATCACTTTCTATTGTGTATTCAGGTTGCTCAGAACAGGTATGTTCCACTGTTTCACAATAGTCATCTAGAGACACTTGTGTACCTGTCCCTACGAAAAAGGAGGATGTGTGAAACAAATTAAGAAAATTTAAAACATAAAATAGGACTTTGTAACATTGTTTCAAAAAGTAAAATAATCTGTGCTTAAAGAACCAGTTTTGAACGTATTGTACACTTACACAGATAACACTCTCATAAAAACATAATAAAAATTTATAAGTAAAGGCAGACTAGTTTCAATTCCATTTGAAGGACTGAGCTAATCTTTGGATAAATTAATAGATTTAAAAAATATAATCTGAGAAAAGTCTATCTTCAATATTTTTTCATTGACAGAGTCTCTTCTACCTCATGTACATTAAGTAGAGCACATCAAAAGATATTTCTTTCAGTCCATGGTCCAAATACTAATGCAATTACTCTAATTTCCCAATTTCCAAGATGGGTTATTTCTTCGCTCATTTTCTGTCCTATAGTCAGTTTGCTCAGTGGAAGAAAGTTCCACTCTTTGACAATTGCCATCTGGAGCAATTTGTGCAACTGTTATCACAAAAGAGGTGTAGGTCAGAAAAAAAAATAAGAAAATTCAAACCACCATAAAATTCTATACTTCAGCCTTGCTTTAAAAAAAGAGTAAGACCATAAAGACTCCAAGTTTTGGAATAATTTAAACTTACACAGGTAACTTTTTCATTAAAAATAGTACAAATTGATGAATAAATGTAGTATAATTTCAGGTTCATTTGAAAAAACTGAGATAATCCTTGACAAATTCTTACATTAAAATGGTCAATCTGAAAAAAGTCTATTTTAAATATTTTGTCATGAGCAAACAATCACATACCACTGTGTAGGACGTGTCAAAAATATTTATTTCATTGGACTGCCCCCATAATAACACAATTACCCTGATTTCCTAATTTCCAATTTAGTTTTTTTGCTCACTGCATACTATATATTCAGTTTGCTCAAAATGAGTTAGAACCACTACTTTGCAGTAGTCATTTAGAGACACTTAAGCACTTTGCCACAAAGAGAGGGAGGTGAGAAAGGAATTAAGAAAAATGAAAACATAAAATGCTACATTATAACCTTGCTTCAAAAAATTAGAAAAGAACAAGATACTAAAGACCAAACTGTTCAACATATTTACACTTACACAGCTAACACTGTCATAAAAACATACCAAAAATTTATTACAAAGCAGCATAATTTCAATTCCACTTGAAAAATGAGTTAATCTTTAATAAACTCATAGATTTGAAACATGAAATCTGAAAAAATACTAATTTCAATATTTTTTCAGGGACAAAGACTCATATGCTACTGTGTAGAGCACATGAAAAGGTATTTTTTTTCATTTTACTGTCTAAATGCTAATACAATTGCCCTGATGTCATAATGTCCGAGATGGACCCCTTCGCTCACTTTCTGTCCTATATTTAGATTGTTCAAAAGAGAAAAATTTCAATGTTTACAAGAGTCATCTGGAGACATTCTTGTACCTGTCACCATGAAAAAGAAGGTAAGAAAAAAACTAACAAAAATAAAAACATCAGAAAATACTACTCTATAACCTTCTTTCAAAAAATAAGAAAACAATGAATGCTTAAAACTCAAAACTTTTCAGCATATTTTACACTTAGAAATTTGTCACTTTCATAAATAACATAGTCCAAATTTATAATTAAAGGCAAGATTCCTTTCATTCTTGAAAAACCTGAGGTAATCCTCAATAAATTCATAGGTTTAAAAAAGAGAAACTAAAAAACACGTACATTAAATATTTTATCATAGACACAGTGTTACATACCATTGTGTAGGGAATGTCGAAAGATATCTCCCTCAGTCCACTGTCCAAATACTAACACAATTACTCTGATTTCCTACAAAATATTACCTGCTTGCTCACTCTCTGGCACATGTTCACTTTCTTCAGAAGAGGAAATTTCCACTGTTTCACAACACACATCATGGGGCACTTGTGCACCTGCCACTGAAAGAGAGGAGAAGGAAACAATATAACAACAACAACAACAACAACAACAACAAAAAAAACCTTCAAAAATAATACTCTGAAACCCCGTGTCAAAACCATAAGAAACTAGTGAGTACTTAAAACTTCAAGTTTACATCATATTTTGCACTTATATATGTACCACTTTTATAAATAACATACTCCAAATTTATAAGTAAAGAATGGATAGTTCCAGTTGAATCTGAGAAGGCTGTTGCAATCCTTATAAATTCATAGATTTTAAACAATCAGAAAAAGTCTATTTTCAATACTTTGCTATTTCAAGTTTCACATATCACTCTGTAGGGCGTGCAAAAGGATATTTCTGTCAGTCCACTGCCCAATTACTAATACATTTACCATAATTTCCTAATGTTCAAGATGGATTACCTCTTTGATCACTGTCTGACATACATTCACTTTCCTCAGAAGAGATTTCCACAGGTTGACAACACACATCTTGGGGCTCTCGTGCACCTGTCACCAGAAAAGAGGAGGAGGATAAAATATAACAAAGAAAATTAAAAAGTTTAAGTCACTACTCTGCAGCCCTGTTTCAAAAAATAAGAAAATAATAAGTGCTTAAATCTTCAAGTTTACACCATATCTTACACATATATATTTATCACTTTCATAAACAATATCTCCAGGTTTATAAGAATGAAGAGTTCCAGTCGATTTTAAGAAGGCTTCAGTAATCTGTATAAATTCATAGAATTTAAATAATCAGAAAAAGTCTATTTTCAATATTTTGCCATTTTGAATTTCACATATCACTTTGTAGGGTGTGCCAAAGATATTTCTGTCAGTCCACTGCCCAATTACTAATACATTTACCATGATTTCCTAATGTTCAAGATGGATTACCTCTTTGATCACTGTCTGACATACATTCACTTTCCTCAGAAGAGATTTCCACAGGTTGACAACACACATCTTGGGGCTCTTGTGCACCTGTCACCAGAAAAGAGGAGGAGGATAAAATATAACAAAGAAAATTAAAAAGCTTAAATCACTACTCTGTAGCCCTGTTTCAAAAAAATAATAGTGAGTGCTTAAATCTTCAAGTTTACACCATATCTTACACTTATATATTTATCACTTTCATAAACAACATCTCCAAGTTTATAAGAATGAATAGTTCCAATTGAATTTAAGAAGGCTGAGGCAATCCTTATAAATTCATAGATTTTAAGCAGACAATAAAAAAAGCCTATTTTCAATATTTTGTCATTTATAGAGTTTCACATATCACTCTGTAGGGCATATCAAAGGATATTTCTTTCAGTCCACTGTCCAATTACTAATGCAATTATCATGATTTCCTAATGTTCACGATGGATTACCTCTTTGATCACTGTCTGACATACATTCACTTTCCTCAGAAGAAGAAATTACCACGGGTTCAGGAAGAACATCTCGAGGTGGTTGTGCACCTATTACCACAAAAAGGTGGAGATCAGAAAAGATTTCAGAAAATCAAAAACATCATACAATAAAACTCTGGAACCTTGTTTCAAAAATAAGATACGAATGCTTGCTTAAGGTTTCAACATTGTCACCATATTTTACACTTACACAGCTATCAGTTTCGTGAATAACACACTTCAAATTTGTAAGAATAGGCAAAATTACTTCAGTTTTATTTGAAAAGACTGAAGCGTTATTCAATAAATTCATAGACAAAAAAGAGAAACTGATAAAGGTCTACTTTAAATGTTTTGCCATTTACTGTGTCTCACGAACCATTGTATAGGGAATGTGAAAAGATATCACTTTCAGTCCACTATTCAAATATTAATGCCTTTGCAATGACTTACTAATGTCCAAATGTATCATCTCTTTGCTGGCTTTCTGTCCTTCATAGAGTTTCAACAGAGAATCAAAAAAATAATATTTTCAATACTTTGACTTGATAGAGTCTCACATACCACTGTTACAGCATGCCAAAAAGGTATTTCTTTCAGTCCACTGTGCAATTACTAATACATTTACCATGATTTCCTAATGTTCAAGATGGATTACCTCTTTGATCACTGTCTGACACACATTCACTTTCCTCAGAAGAGGAAATTTCCACTGTGCCACAATATGTAACTGGAGACATTCGTACATCTGTCACCAAAAACAAGATCAGAAAAGTACTGAAAACATTAGAAACACCTTAAAATACTACTCTGTAGCCTTGTTTCAAAAAAACAAGATAAGAATGAAGGTATAAGGACTCAAACTTTTCACATATTTTTCTCTCACACAGTTACCATATTCATAAACAGCATATTCAACAAGTAAATGCATCATAGTTTCAACTTCATTTGAAAAGATTCAGCTAATCCTCAATAAATCATACATTTCAAAAAGAGCATCTGTAAAAGTATATTTTAAATGTTTTGTCATGTGCGGAATCACACATATCACTGTGTAGAGCATGTCAAAAATATTTCTTTTAGTCCAGTGTTCAAATACAAACATAATTACTCTGATTACTTAATATTGAACTTGGAGAATCTCTTTCTTCTCTTGCTGTTATATCTTCAGTTTCCTCAAAAGATGAAAGTTCCATTGTTTCCCCAGAGTCATTGGAAGACACTTGTTTTTTTGTCACCACAAAAAAGAGAAGAAAGTCAGAAATGAATTAAGAAAACTAAAAACATCATAAAATGGTACTCAATCACCTTCTTTATAAAGAAGAAAAAATGAGGGCTTACACACTCAAAGCTTGCAGCATATTTTACACTTACACGGTTAACACTTTCATAAACAACAGAGCCCAAATTCGTAAGTAAAGGCAGCATAGAATCCATTCCATTTGAAAAGAATGAATTAAACCTTGATAAATTCATAGATATAAAAATAGTCTATTTTAAATACATTATCATGAACAGAGTCTCATATAACACTGGGTAGGACATCACAAAACTATGTAACTTTCAGTCCACTGTCCAAATGCTATTACAATAACCATGATTAATGAACATCCAATATGGATTACCTCTTTGCTCACTTTCTGTTCTATATTGAGCTTGCGCTAAAGAAGAACATTCCACTGTTTCACAATAGTCATCCGGAAACACTTGCACATCTGTCATCAAAAAACAAGAGGAGGTCAGAAATGAACTAAAAAGTAAATTAATTAATTAATAAAAGCCCCTTAAGTACTACTGTGCAAACTTGTTTCAAAAAGTAAGAAAACAATGAGTGGTAAAAGACTCAAAGTTTTCAGTGTATTTTACACTTAAAAGTTAACACTTTCAAAAACACTAAACAAATACTTGAAAACTTCATTAATTTACAAAAACACCAATCATAGAAATGTATATTTTCAATACTTTATCTTGCACAAAGTCTCACAGATCTCTGTTCAAATCGTAAATATTGTCTTTCACTCAATTCTCAAAATATTAATACAATTACCCTGATTTCCTAATGTACACGGTGGATTTTCTCTTCCATAACTTTCTGTCATACCTTCAGTTTCCTCAAAAGAGGGAAGTTTTACTATTTCACGAGAGTCACGTTCAGACACTCGTGCACCTGCCACCACAGAAGAGAAAAATGTCAGAAAAGAACTAAGAAAATTGGAAACACCATAAAATACTACTTTGTAACCTCATATCAAAAATGAGACAAGAACAGTGCATAAGGTCTCAGGTTTTGCAGTAGAATTGAATCTCATACAGTTAACTCTTTCATAACAATACAGTCCACATTTACAATTAAGGGTGGCATAGTTTCAACACTATTTGAAAAGACTCAGTTAATCCTTAATAACTTCGTAGATTTCAAACAGAGAATATGAAAAAAAGTATATTTTAAATATTTTGTCATTTACAGGGTCTCACATACCACTGTGCAGAGTATATCAAAAGATCTTTCAGTCCAGTGTTCAAATATTAATACAGTTACCTGGATCCCCTAATGTTCAAGATGGATTACTTTTTGATTCACTTTCTGTCATATATTCAGTTTCCTCAAAAGTTGAATGTTCCACTATTTCACTATAGTCATCAAGGGACACTTTTTATATGTCACCACAAAAAGGGAGGTGAGAAACAAACTAAAAACATTTTAAAAATCATAACATACTACTCTGTAAGCTCGTTTCAAAAAATAAGAAAAAGAATGAGGGTTTAATACTAAGAGTTTTCAGCATATATTACATTAAAACAGCTAATACTTTCATAAACAATAGCATCCAAAATTATAAGTAAAGGCAGATGAAGTCTATTCCATTTGAAAATACTGAGTTAATTTTCAATAAATTCATAGACTTAAAAAGGGATTCTGAAAGTCTCTTTTGAATATCTTGTCATGAACAGTCTCATATAACAATGTGTAAGGCATGATGAAATATATATCTTTCATCTGACTATCAAAGTGCTAATACAATTATCCTGATTTCCTAATGTCCAATATGGATTATCTGTTGCTCACTTTCTGTCCTACATTGTGTTTGCTCAAAAGAGGAGGGTTCCACTGTTTTACAATACTCATCTGGTGACAATTGTACCAAAAAGAGGAGGATAAGGAGGAGGTCAGAAAAAAACTAAAAAAGAAAAAACCTTCATAAATACTTTGGGTAAAACTGTGTCAAAAAAAAAAAAAAAAAAAAACAAGAAAACAATGAGTGCTTAAAAGATTCAAAGTTTTCAGCATATTTTATACCTACAGAATTAACATTTCATAAATCAATATTGTCCAAATGCATAAGTAAAGGCAGCATAGTTTTAATTCCATTGGAAAACATTGAAAAAAATCCTTAACATCTTCATAAATTTAAAAAAGTCAGCCCTGGAAATGCCTATTTTTAATACTTTATCTTGAACACAGTCTTACATAAACTGTGTAGGGCATGAGCAAAGGTATTTCTTTCATTACACTCTCCAAATACCAATACAGTTACCCTGACTTGCTGGTGTCCAGGCTGGACTATCCCTTGGCTCCTTTTCTTTCATGCATTCAGTTGGTTCCAAAGAGGAAATTTCCACTGTTTCATAATAGGCATCAGGAGACAGTTGTACAACTTTCACCACAAAAGAGAAGGTCCGAAAAGAACCAAGAAAATTGAAAACATCATTTAATACTATTCTGGAAACTTGTTTCAAAGAATTAAGAAATAAGTGAGCACTCGCAAACAAAAAAAAATTTCATCATACTTTACTTTTATGTAATCAACACTATCAGAAACAGTCCAAATTTATACATTAAGGAGTCATACTCTCACATCTATTTGAAATAACTTACCTAATCCTTGATAAATTCATAGACTTAAAATAAGGCAATCGGAAAAGAGTCCATTTTCAGTATTTTGTCACGTACAGAGTTTCACATACCATTCTCTGGGGCATATTAAAACATATTTCTTCAGTCCACTATCCAAACACTAATACAAATACCCTGATTTCCTGGTGTCCAGGATGGGTTACCTATTTGTTCACTTTCTGTCGTGTATTCAGTTGGCTCAAAAGAGGAAATTTCCACTGTTTCACAACAGTCATCTGGAGATATTTGTGTACCTTATACCACATAGAGGAGGAGGTAAGAAAAGAACTAATAAAATTAAAAATAATACAAAACACTAATCTCGAACCTCATTTTAAAACAAGAAAATAATGAGTCCTTAGAGGCTAAAAATTTTCAGCGTATTTTTACCTTTATGTACCTAACACTTTCAGTAAAAACTTAGTGCAAATCTGTAAGTAAAGAGAGTATAGCTTCAATTCTATTTCAGGATACTGAGCTCATCCCCAATAAATTCATAGATTTGAAAAAAAGAATCTAAAAAATTCAATTTTGAATATTTTGTCACAGACAAAGTGTTTTTCATTCCACTATCTAGAGCATATATAAGGGTATTTCTTTCAGTCCACTGTCCAAGTACTAATACTATTACCCTGATTTCCTAATGTACAAAATGGATTATCTCTTTGCTCACTTTCTGTCGTATTTTCAGTTTGCTCAGCACAGGGAATTGCCACTGTTTCAGTACAGTCAACTGGAGACACTTGTGAACCTGTCATCACAAAAGTGAATGACGTCAAAAAACAAGCAACGAAATTAAAAACATCATAAAATACTACTCAGTAATCTTGCTTCAAAAAGTAATAAAATAATGACTGACTAAAGAATCAAGTTTTCAGCATATTTTACACTTACACAGTTAACATTTTCATAAACAACAGGGTCCAAATTTATAAGGAAAGGTAGCATAGATTCATTTCATTTGAAAACACTGAATATATCCTTGATAACTCCATGAACTTAAAAAAAATCAATCAGAAAAATGTTCACGTTCAATATTTATCTTCTACACAGTCTCACATACCACTGTGCAGAGCTCGTAAAAAGATATTTCTTCCATTCCACTCTCCAAATACTAATACAGTTACCCTGTTTTCCTAATGCCCAAGATGTATTATCAGTTTGTACAAACTTTACATGTGTTCAGTTTGCTCAAAACAGGAAATGTCCACTGTTTCACAATAGTCATCTGGAAACACTTGTGCACCTGTCACCACTAAAGAGGAGAAGTTCAGAAAAGAACTAAGAAAATTTAAAACATTACAAAATATCACTCTGTATACTTGCTTGAAATTTTTTTTAAAAATAGTACTTAAAGACTCCACATTTATGGCACATTTTACACTTACATGGTTATCAGTTTTATAAACAAAACAGTCCAAATTTATAAGCAAACATTGGATAGCTTCAACTGAATTTGGGATGACTGAGCTAATCCATGATGAATTCATAGGTTTTAAATAGACAATTAGAAAAAAAGTCTATTTTCCATATTTTATCATTCATAGAATCACACATATCACTCTATAATACGTGATTAAAGATATTGTTATTGATTCACTGTACAAATACTAATTCAATTCCGATGATTTTCTAATGTCCAACCTGAATTATCTCCCTTCTCACTGTCTATCGTATATTTAGTTTCCTCAAAACAGGAAAGTTCTGCTTTTTCACAATAATCATCTAGAGGTACTTGTGCCCCTTGTATGATAATAGAGAAGCAGGTTAAAAAAGAACTGAGAAAATTTTAAAAAACATAAAATACTGCTCTGTAACCCTGTTTCAAAAAATGTGAGTAGTGCATAAGGACTCAAATTTCTCATCAGAGTTTACTCACACACAGTTTTCGCTTTCATAAACAACATACTCAGTATTCAGAAGTTAACACACCGTAGTTTCAGCTTCATTTGAAAAGATTCAGCTAATCATCAATAAATTCATGCATTTCAAAAAGAGAGTATGTAAAAGTGTATTTTAAATATTTTGTCAGGTGTAGAATCTTACATATCACTTTGTAGGAAATGTCAAAATATCCCTCTTTCATTCCACTGTTCAAGTACTAACATAATTACCCTGATTTCCTAATGTCCAAGATGGATTACCTTTTTGCTCAATTTCTGTCATACATTCAGTTTGCTTAACAGAGGAAATTTCTACTGCTTCACCATATGCACCAAGAGACACTTGCACCCCTGTCACCACCAAAGAGGAGAAGGTTAGAAATGAATTAAGAAAATTTAAAACATCATAAAATACTACTCTGTAACCTTGTGCCAAAAAATAAGAAAGAGTGCTTAAAACACAAAGATTTCAGTATATTTTACAATTACGTAGTTAACACTTTCATAAACACCACAGTATGAATTTATACATAATGGCAGTATACTTTCATTTCCATTTTAAAACACTGAGCTAAATCTTGATATATTCACAGATTTTAAAAAATGAATCAGAAAAATGTCCTTTTCTATATTTTGTTTGCACAGAATCTCACATACTCTGTGTAAGGTATTTCAAAATATATTTTTTTCATTCCACTGTCTAGTAATACAAATATCCTGATTTCCCAGTATCCAGGATGGATTGCCTCTTTGTTCAATTTCTGTCATATATTCAGTTTGCTCAACAGAGGAAATGCCTACTACTTCACCATATTCTTCAGGAAAGACTTGTACGTCTGTCACCACCAAAGAGCAGGAGGTCAGAAATGAATTAAGAAAATGTAAAACATCATAAAATACTACTCTGTAACATTGTGTCAAAAAATAAGGATGAGTGCTTCACAACTCAAATATTTCAGCATATTTTATGGTTACTTAGTTAACACTCATTAACAGCATAATAAAAATTTATAAATAATGGCAGTATAGTTTCATTTCCATTTTAAAACACTGAGCTAATTCTAGATATATTAACAGATTTTAAAAAGTGAATCAGAAAAATGCTCTTTTCTATATTTTGTGTTGTATAGAATCTCACACGCACTGTGTAACGCATTTCAAAATGTATTTCTTTCATTCCATTGTTTAGTAATACAAATACCCTGATTTCCTAATGTCCACGATAGATTACCTTTATGCTTAACTGATGTTTTATATTTAGTTTGCTCAGCAGAGGAAATTTCTACTGCTTCACCATGTTCTTCATGAGACACTTGTGCACCTGTCACCACCAAAGAGGAAGAGGTCAGAAGAGAAGTAAGAAAATCTAAAACATCATGAAATACTACTCTGTAACCTTGTATCAAAAACTAAGAATAAGGGCTGTAAGACTCAAAGATTTCAGCATACTTTACAGTTACATATTTAACACTTACTTAAACAACATAATACAAACTTGTAAGTAATGACAGTATAGTTTCCTTTCCATTTTAAAACACTGAGCTAATTCCTGATATATTCACAGATTTTAAAAAGTAAATCAGAAAAATGCCCCTTTTTATGTTTTGTTATGTATAGAATCTCACACACTCGGTGTAAGATATTTCAAAATATATTTCTTTCATTCTACTATATAAATAGTAATACAAATACCCTGACTTCCGAATAGCCAGGATGGATTACCTCTTTGCTCACCTTCTGTGGTATATTCAGTTTGCTCAAAAGAAATGCCTACAGCTTCACCATATTCAGGAGAAACTTGTGCACCTGGTACCACCAAAGAGGAGGAGGCTAGAAATGATTTAAGAAAATTTAAAGCATCATAAAACACTACTCTGTAACACTGTATCAAAAAACAGGAATGTGTGTGGTAAGACTCAAAGATTTCGCCATATTTTATGGTTACATAGTCACCACTTTCTTAAACAACATAGTACAAACTTATAAGTAATTACAGTATAGTTTCATTTCCATTTTAAAACACTGAGATAATTTTTGATATATTTACATCTTTAAAAACTTGAATCAGAACAATTTCCATTTTCTATATTTTGTTATGTGTAGAATCTCACATACTGTGTAGGGAATTTGAAAATGTATTTCTTTCAGTCCACTGTCTAAATAATAGTACAAATATCCTGATTTCTTAATGTCCAAGATGGATTACCTCTTTGCTCACTTTCTGAAAATTCAGTGTGATGGAAAGTGTAAATTTCTACTGTTTCACTAGAAGGATCTTCAGACTCTTGTGTATCTGTCACCACAAAGAGGAGGAGGTCAGGAAAGAATGAAGAAAGTTAAAAACATAATCAAATACTCTTTAACATTGTTCCAAAAAAATTTTAAAAATGAGTGCTTAGAGACTCAATATTTTCAGCATATTTTACACTTATATGGTTAACACTTTGATAAACAACACAGTCCAAATTTACAAGGTAAAGAAGTACAGTTTCAATTCTATTTAAATAGACTGATCCAATATTTGATAAATTCATAGATTTTTTAAAAAAGAATTTGAAACATCTTGTCATGTACATGGTCTCACATAACACTGTCTAGAGGACTTCAAAAGATATTACTTTTAGCCCACTGTCCAAATAATAATACAATTACTTTGATTTTCTAATGTTCAGGATGGATTATGTCTTTACTCACTTTGCGGCTTATATTGAGTTTTCACAAAGTAGATTAGACCCCGTGTTTCAAAACATTCTTCTGGAGATACTTGTGGACCTGTTACCATAAAAGCAGAGAAGGTAAGAACAGAACTAAGAAAATTAGAAATGTCATCAAATACTACTCTGTGACCTCATTTCAAAAAATAAGGAAACATTGGGGCTGGGGATTTAGCTCAGCGGCATAAGCGCCTGCCTTGCAAGCAGGCAGTCGTGAGTTCAATCCCTGGTACCGGTAAAAAGGAAAAAGACAAAAAAAAAAAAAAAATAAGGAAACAATGTGTGCTTAAAGACAGTATCTTCAGCATATTTTACCTACACATGTGAACAATCATTAATATATTCCAAACTTATACGTGAATACAGCATAGTTTCGATTACATTTGAAAAGACTGTCCTAATTCTCAAAAATTCATAGATTCAATAAAGAAATTCTGAAATAAGCCTTTTTTCAATATTTTGTCATGTACAGAGTCCCACATACCACTGTGTAGGTCATATCAAAAGACGTCTTTCTCCACTCTCCAAATACTAATGCAATTACCCTGATTGCCTAATGTCCAAAATGGATTACCTGTTTGCTGATTTTGTGTCGTATATCCAGTGTGCTCAAAACATGTAATCTCTAATACTTCACGATAGTCATCTGGAGGCACTTGTACACCTGTCACCACTAAAAGAGCAGGAGGTCACAAAATAACCAAAAAAAGTTAAAAACATCATAAAATACTACTCTGTAAGCTTTTTTGAAAGAATAATCCCTCAAAGCCTCAAAATTTTCAGCATATTTTACACTTACATTCATAACACTTTTATAGACCACATGGTACAAATTTATAAGTAAAGGGAGCATAGTTTCAATTCTACTTCAAAAGACTGAACTAATTCTTGATAAATTCATAGATTTCAATAAAAGAATCTGAAAAAAGTCTGTTCTCAATATTGTGTCATGTACAGTGTCACATACTCCAGTGTAGGGCATTATCAGAACTTACTTATTTAAATTCACTGTATAAATACCAATACAATTAAATAAGGTAACTTTACAGTATGGTTGCCACTGTTTCAGTTCAAATTACTGTGTATTATTATCTAATGTTGGTTTGTCTGCAACAGTACTTCTAGATTCTTGACTGATTGCTTTGTTCATATACAATATTGCTTTAGAATGTAAATTTCTTATAAATACTAACAGAATTAAACAAGATTTCTGTGCTTTAAATCATTTAACTAGGATTCCAACAGGGTTATTTGAGGAGGTATATTAGAGATACTCAGGGAAGAATTAGCACACACACACACACACACACACACACACACACACACAATATAGGTATTCTGAAATGAGAGAGACAATCACATCCAAAAATGGAGAAGAAATCTAAAAAATAAATCCTCTAGATCAAGACCAAATACTTGGGTTGTTGAAAGAGAAGCCGATTTGCCACTGGGCAGTCTCCCTGGGAGCCCTTTACTGAAGGAGAACAAAATCTTGGGAGCATCAAACATGAGGTAAAGAGACAGCACCATAGATTCTAGACTTCTAGGACTAACTCCTTACATACACTCTCTCCCAGCTTAAAGAGGAAACCTAGCATTGGCATAAACTTTGATTGAGGGCCCAGGATAGGTACAAACAAACGGTAAATGGAGAAAAGTAGAGATAGCAACATGCAAATGAGCAGCTCTCTCACATCCTCTGAAACACTGAGGAACACTCTATCTTGGTGGCATCCTACCTACCACCTACCACCTCACATCCACATGGGAAGACCTCTGCTCTAGGCAGAGAGCGGCTGAATACCATGAACTGTGGATTGTACCAAGCCTGCTGGCAGATATCTATGGATCACATCCCTGGAGACACAAGGCAGTGGAGAGACTGAGAACAGTCAGTCCAGAATGGGTGCTTTCCTGTTGTTTCCCCAAACACTGGAAAGATCACTGTGCACTGCCCTACACACGCAGGAGGCCCTCTGCCTAGGCCAGGCACTACACTGAGTTCTACAGACTGGAAAGCTGAGCTTTTGAGTCAGGGACAGATGGAAATCTAAGAGCAAAAGCACAGAAGGGATTGGCTGGAGTGGAGAGCTTCTGGTGATACACGAGGCACACAGCACCTACTAGAAAACAGACACAAACATGAAATTTGCCCAGAAGCAAGAGGACCTAAACTGAGAGGGCACTGGCAAAAGTTAAATGCAGGTAGTCAAGCAGATCAAAGCCAGGGGGGAAACTGACATGGCTCCTTACAAGTGGACTATGATTACAGCAGTAAGGGAATTGTGTGAACATTCTGCCTATAAGCTAGCAAGGAAGGATTTCCTGTGTATGTGTCTATACTGACTTCTCTCACATTTTTCCCCCTTTCTTTCTCTCTTTATTTCTATATCAATTTATTTTTGAAGACGTTTTGAAGGTTTTTTAAAATTTCTTATATGCTCTTTTGATCTTTCTTCTCTTTTCTCAATTTGATAAACTTTCCACCCTATTCTATGCTATTTACACTTTTTTTTTATTTTACACATTTCTCCTGTCTTCCCTCACATGTTCTTTACCTTTCATATGAAATGCATACAACATGTCCCTATAAATGTACAAAAGATAATATGAATAGAGTAGTGTTTTATTTATAGTATGGGTTTCTTGTATAAGAAAAACCATATCATATTTAAATTTGTGTGCCTGATTTATTTCATTTAGCATTATGTTCTCAAGGCGCATCCATTTACTTACAAATGCCTCAATTTGTCCTTCTTTATGACAGAGTAGTACTCAATTGAGTGTAAACAACCCATTTTTGTTATCCACTTATCTGGTGATGAACATATATGGGATGTTTTTAAGAATTAGTTATGAAAAATGGTAATGCTATAAACATGGGTATGCATTGTAATATATTATCTTAAACTCTTTCAGAAAGATTCCCATAAGGAGAATAGCTGAAATGGAATGTCTCTCTCTTTAACTTTTTTTGTTTTGTTATTTAAGGAATTGTCATACTTATCTCCATAGTGGTTATACAGGTTTACAGTCTCACCAACAATGGAGAAGAGCTCCTGTTTCCCCCTCAATCAAAGCCTCAATCAAAATAAGAATAAATAATAATCAGGGGAACTTTTTTTTTCAAATAGGAAGTGGAATAAGAAATGAAGGAGAGGAGAAAAGAAAGGGAAAGGGATTTAAAAAGCAATGGAAGGAAAAAATGGAAACAGCTTTTTTACATGGGAAGGGGATGAAGAGTTGGAGTGAACGGGGAAGTACCGTAGGGAAATGGGATAAAATACATTAAGATGTGTTACGTATATGTACAAATTCTATACAACAAATGCAGTCATGTACTGAAACACATACTGGTAAAAATGTACAATTAACAACAAAAGACAAAACAATACAGCAGTGCTTTAACTTAAATAGCACCATTTTTAGTCATGTTGAGATAATGGTTAGCATAATTCAAGAGATTCAAACAAAACTAAATACAAATATACTGACAGTGTTCAATAGCCTCACAAATTTCCTCAACCTCTTCTCACACTTCTGCTCCTTTGTATCCCATACTCAACCTCCAAAAACATTTTTTGAACTCTCTCAATGCTAAATGTTTACTGCAATTAAAACACCTCCAACCAAGGCCTGAACTTCTCTCTGTGTTTTACATATTAGCATTTAGCTTATCTCTCTTTATCCTACTTTATCCTACTTATCCCCTTCTATTTCCCTATCCTCTTTCTCCTGTTCTCCTTCCACATCCCAGACTAATCACCAAAAATTATACAATATAGTCTATATGAGGCATTGATAAAAGACCAAGAGTATAAAAACAAGTTTTAATGTTTCTGATTGATGTATTATTGCATCTGTATTGTTGCTGCAAAGAGCAGCAATTCTCTCCCTGCAGCAGAGTGACTGGGTTTCTTCCAGCTATATTGAGTAGGAGTAAATAGTAAAAATACCTCTTGAGGAATACAAGACTAAAATCACATCACTGGAAAGCAAAACCTAACCCTATTAGCAACTTTATGGTTAGACTTCTTTGCATACTTCGAATCCTGTTGAGTTATCTTAACATTACTATGCATGGTGCTATGTAAGCACAATTTTTCCACTGTATTAGACCTCAACCCCTCAAATCTTATATACACAAAAATATTAAGAACAAGAAAAAACAGGGCAACGGAATCCCCCAAACCAAATTCAAGGGACACAAATGGAGAAATACTTAAACATCAAGTAGTTGAACCACATGAAATAATTCAATCAAAAATAAACAGCAAGCTCACAGAAGACATTAAACTATAATGGAATTAACACGTCAATGTATACACAAAGCAAATGAAAATACGAAAGAGCATATCAAAAATAATCAAAACATGAGTGACAAATTTACTAAAGATATACATTCCATGAAAATGTGTCAAACAGAAATCCTGGGCACATAGAATTCTAGCAAATATATGTATAGCAGAATTGACCAATTGAGGAGATAATATCAGATCTTGAGGATAAAATGGAAATATAGGATGAGAAATGACAAGAGAGCAAGAAAAATTAAACCAGCAGATATTAAATTACACTAAGAAGATGAAGCTAAAGATATTTGGAATGAAAGAAAAATTAGAGGACATTACAAATGGAGTGAAACATGATTC